GCAGCATCCCTCTCATTCTGGGGGATGTACATCAACGCTTCTTCATCTTCCCCCAAGGAAAAGTTAGCCACCCACTCCGACACCATCTTCTCCAGTTTCTTCTCGTCTTCACTAACCCCGCTGGATTCCTCTCTCCTCACAGTCCTCACCAGGGGTATCTCCTCTTCTTCTTCTTCTTTCTTCTTCTACTACTTTAAGCTTCTCCTCCTCTTCTCTCTTCAACCTCTCCATTTCTTCTTCAAGCTTCTTCTTCTTCACCGCCTGCGCTTCCAACAGGGCCTGCTTCTTGGCCTCCTACTTTCTTTCTTTCAATATGGCGGCGGCACTCTCTTCCTGCTCTTTCGTATATGGGGTCGTGCTCGTACCGCCACGTATGTCCACGTATGTACAACCGGGAGACAGTCCCACTCCTCATCCCCTGACAGACTCAACTTAATGACGGACTTACTAAGGACCACAGAATCCTTGAAGGACCCTGTCAGCTATGGTCTCTAGCCTGACTCTACTTCTAGGCTGTCACTATAGGACTTACTGCTGATCGGGAGGCATTTAAGGAGATCCCCCGTAACTCCTCATGAATAATTTTAACGTCGCAAACAGAATGACGCGATCAGCAAGTCCTCTCAAGACGTAGACAGCTGGTTGTGCAGCCCACAACTTGGATTTTGGGCCTACCGTGCCACACTGAGCAGCCCGCCGGTCTGTACCGGTCCTTGGGAGGGTTCGTCCTCCGGGTCGGTCAGTCGTCAAACACGGCTTTTAGCCCTACTCAGCCCGTGTGGGTTTGGTCAACGCAGCTCTATGACCTCATACACAGAGTTCCTATCACCTGGACATAAGAGACTCAATGCAGAAAGAAGAGACAAAATGACTCAGCAAGTACCATAGGGTATGTGCGCATCCATAGGGCGAGGGGATAGGTTGAAGGCTTGGTGAGAGTATACCGACTCCAGCTTGGTCAAACGTCGTGGTCAACAGCTCCGGTCAACGCCCTGGTCAACAACCCAGTCAACACTAGTCAATGTCCCAATCAACTCCTTGGTCAACGCTGGTCAACACTTCAGTCAACTCCTCGATCAACACCAACATACATCCCGATCAACGCTGGAAAACCACCTGGTCAACGTTGATAATCAGCTGGTCAACATTGGTGAGTACCTTGGCCAACGTTGGCTATGGCTGCCAACCCTCTCTCTTCGACTTCCGTTCGCCTTCTTTCTTCTTCCTCCTCCTTCACCCTCGGCTATGGCTTCTTTCTCATCCCTCGTCTCCATCTTCTTCACCCTCGGGTATAGTTTCTCTTTCTCCCTTCTGTCTCTCCTTCCTCCTCCACCTCAGCTATGACTTTCATGTTCCTCCTTCGTCTCTCCCTTCTTCTTTCTCTGTGTCTTCTTTCTCAATGTCCGAGCTCGGTAGATATGGCCGTCTCCTTCTTTCATATGTCGCACAACCAATCTTGTATCGCTCCTCTCTCTCTCTCTCTCTCTCTCTCCCTCTCTCTCTCTCTCTCTCTCTCTCTTCGTCGTTGTCTTCTTTGCAGGTACGCGGCACCTTCCTTCAACGGCGCGGCTATGGAGGACCCTTCTTCTTCAACAACGTACTTCTGCTATGGCGCGTGAAATAGTGGGAACCTGCTCTGATACCAATGCAATCAGACTCGCTTTCTTCTTACTTCGCATGCATGTAAACAGATGGCAAATCACTCTGGCGCCAGGCGCCCACACAAAGCTCAAAGATAGTACACGCGAGAACACAGTTTAGATACAAACTCGCTTCAAGTAACTATGGCACCTGTGCACCCTTACATCACCCCTCACAACACTGTATCCTCTCAACTTGTCCACACGCACACTTCACTGGACGTCCCTGGATATCCCACCCACATACACTCTCACTGCACACTCAAATACTCACACACTGAAGACTACTATAACCTGGTGCAGCTATGGCTGCTCGCTAACCCTATCACTACTAGCAGATATGGCTGCTCTGTCTCTCTCATAACCCACTTCAGCTTCGGGCATCTGCAGACCACCTCGCACAAGATGCACTGGCAGCGCTTCTGCTTGGTTCGCAACAGAATGAATGAATTGCTGGACGCTGCCTCTTGATTTATACTTCTGTTGGTCGCTGGTCTGGCCCTTTGCACCAGGCCCTTGGTGCCCGCAGTCCCACACGGTACACACGGTACTTGCTTGACTGGACTAAGTGTAACTGGGACCAGTACCGCTGACTGAACGGGGTTGCACTGCCGACTCGACGCAGTTGGACTTGCGACTCGCCTACAGACCTCTACACACTGGCAGCGCTTCCGCTTGGTTCGCAACAGAATGAATGAATTGCTCGACTCTGCCACTTGATTTATACTTCTGTTGGTCGCTGGTCTGGCCCCTTCCACCAGGCCCTTGGTGCCCACAGTCCCACACGGTACTTGCTTGACTGGACTAAGTGTGACTGGGACCAGTACCACTGACTGAACGGGGTTGCACTGCCAACTCGATGCAGTTGGACTTGCGACTCGCCTACAGACCTCTAGCCTAGCAGTTTCGTCCTCTACACAGCTGAAACCCCTACTTGACAGATCTACAGATCGAACCCCTACAGCTGCAGGGACCTACGACAAATAACAGTCACTATTAAAACACAGGTCGCGGGCTCAAAACACACAGGGGTCTATTCGATACTGTACACGGGTGCAGGTAAGGTCTAGGGATCGAACCCTGGGATCTGCATCTGCTTCTGCAAAGGTGAAAACCGTTTCACAAGTGTGGGTTGTTTTGTTTTTGTCAGGATTCAAACTTAGACGCAAACAAAGTACAATTGTTTCCTTTACTGTATTGAAGCTTGTCAGTTTTGAACCCAGGACCTGAATGTAGAGTCTCTTAGTGGTAGGATTTTTTTCGGCTAGTAAGCTTGGGCTTTCCATTTTGGAAGCAGGCACTGAGGCTTAGGCAAGTAGCAGCTCATCAAAAGTGACGAGTTGGGGCACAATACCCTCGTTCAGAAACCATTCGTCATATTTCTCCTGCTTGGTGAGACTAGAGGTGCGCTACTATCGGCACTGCCTGAGGGGAGAGGGAGGGAGGGAGAGAGAGAGAGAGAGAGAGAGAGAGTGCACCTATAGCCAGTGAGAACTTGCTGCTCGCTGGACAGTTTCCTGAGCCCAATATTGTATGTTGCCCAGGCAGGCAGGGCGCTCAATTCTTCGTCACCTTTTTCTGCTTTCATCCACTATTTTGGGTGTGATTGTTCAATTCCGATTTTTTGTGGCGCTGCAATCAAGTGTGATCGCATCTCATTTGAGTGTGCAAGTGAGATGGCGTCCCGGCCTCTTTTTCACGAGGGTGCTCGTGCTGTGCGCCAACCAAAAAAATGGGGCAGCTCGGGCACTCTTTTTGCTTTGTTTTGGCTGGTGGCACCAGCCATTTTGCTCCGTGAACCCCGAACCCAGAACCCCGAAAGTTGCACTGTCCACACAGCTTCATTCTTACGGTTTTACCTGGGGGATGTATTGATGGTTTAAGAACTAACACCACTCTGCAGATTTCTACTGTGGTACTGCAATGCACTAAATTGAGTTGGATCTGTCAGTGACCCATGAGTGATGGTGTAGAAGAAGGGACCACAATCTTTCAATGTGCACATATCTCTGAATCCAGTGGTTCCCACACTCAGCGAGCTCATCCACCACTTCACTAAGTTTCTGATACGCCGATGCCCACAAGACAAAAGACAAAATGCCTCGACTCAAAAACAAATGACTGGTGTACGTGGTAAAATGCAGGACAAAATAGGTGGACTCAAAACAGATTAATGGTGTACGTGGTACTGTGCCGCAACCCTTAATGCATACTGTGTCCTGCCCAATACCCTGTCCATTTCTCCACACTCCCCTTCCCACACATTTTCTTTCCTCCGTTCTCTTCCAATTACACAAAACCTTGTGAGGGTGAGGGTGTCGTCTGCAAGAGGGGAAGCCAGGTAGGTTTTCCCTGCCCTCGATGCACACGTTCTCCTGCCCAATTCCATCTCCATTTCTCCACCCTCCCCTTTCCACACTTTTTTTTTTTGGGGGGGGGACCATTTTTCGATTTATGCGGATCCTTGCGCAGGGGCCATGCTAATCTTCTCTGTATCATTCCAGTTTTAATGGAGTCTCGAAGGACATAATTTTCCACACATATTTTCTTTCCTCCGTTCTCTCACAATTTCTGATTTCCATGGAACTGCGCAGGAAGAGAAAGAGAGTGAAGGTAAGTGCCCGCCAGGGGGTGATCAAGCGAAATGCATTTCCTCCACTTCTCCCATGTTTACAAGTTGCACTGGACTCTGCTTAGACTCACAGTGGAAGCTGGCGAAAGAGAGATACACAGCGAAACAACATACAGACACTGATTTGCTGAGAAAGAAAACAAGCCCAGTGGAAAAGGGAAGCTCTGGCTTGTCTCCCCTGGTACCGAATCCCAACCTCCTTTTCATTGGCACTTATTGCTCTGCAGTTTCATTGTGGCAATGGGTTCAGATTTCACAGGGCATACAAGCTAGCAAATGGACGGTTGGGCACTCTAGTACTGCATTATGAATAACATAGTTTCAATGGAGATTTAGGTGAGGGGTGGAAGACTTGGCGTCTCACGGAGATTGGTGAACATCTTCAACCTTAGTATTTTCATCCCCCTCATTGTCACCAAGCAACTAAATGCTCCTCATCTCCATCTTGCCCTGTGATTTACTTGTCGGTTTTCTCACTCACACCACCCCAACAGTTGCATGCGATACCGGCCACCGAGGGCTGTTGGTACACAGCCTGATGACCAGCCTGACATGGCCCAAAACGCAAAACCTTTGCTACCCCTTCCATTTGTATTAGCACGACAACCTGTTGCTGATAAAAGCATCACGCTCAATGGCTGGGAGCCTTGTGTTCACTCAACTTCACTGTCAAGCCAATCGAGTGCTTCTGAGGTCAGAAAAAGCGAGAAGAGCAGGAACATACATACATGCTGCGGCCAAAGATCCGCTTTGCCTCCGGCTCCAGCCCAGTGTAATCCGCTGTTCCAAGGAGAAGAACCGGCAACGTTGGGGGGAGGTCCGCCAACAGCATCACCAGAGTTGCACGCAATTGCTCATGAGCCTGCACTTGAGTGCACACACAAGACAGGCACACACATGGCAATGCGCACAGGCAGCAGCATATCCAAGGACCATCCACAAAATTGTAAATACCATTGAAACAACCCCCCTCCGAAACAACTGGTCTTGAAAGCACTCAGAACATTCATCCTTCCTTGAGGATATGCAACCTCTGAAATACGTAAGAGTCCACGGTGGGAAAAATGAACAAATGGAGACAGCAGATGCTGCCATGCTCAGCTGCGCAGACAAATATACAATGAACGTTCGTCATGAACAACTGAGTGTTCTCCTTCCGTCTTTTCCCAGACATCTCATCTTTCCAAACAACAGCACTTACTCTGAGCAAGTTCAAGGACAGAACAACAACAGGAGGATGATAAGACTGGGGCACACAATTTATCCTCCACAAAACAAGAACCAGTCTGATTAATATGTGATTATGCAAAATTCCACATGCAGAGCGATGCCACCAGGCTCAAGGCTAAAAGAATGGCGGCAGACATATTCTTTGGGGACTGCAAGGAAAGCAACATCACATTTCGTGACATGTACCAAACTAAAAATAGGAGGCTAAGTGGGCCCTCCGAACTCCAAACGACTGAGTCCCGGAGGTCTTCTGGAGTCTCACTCCGACCTCTACAACAACCTGGGCGTTTCGGGGGAAAAAAAAAAAAAAAGACTCGAGGGTATGAGATGTAAACAACGAGAAGAAAGAACCAAGGCGGGCACTACCAGGAATAACAAAAGACAAGGTGTAATCACAAATATGTGCAACCAATCACATAGTCTTCTCAGCATTCATACCCGTTAAGGTCAATGCATACCCACTTCACATCTCTGCAAGCAATCCATAATAGCCCAGCCTGCTACTCACGACCAACCACGCAGCAAATAAATGCCTTAATCTGAACTTTCTGAACAGATGTAGTCTGTAAACCACCATGCAGCTGCACTCCCACCAGATTGAGTGAAGGTGTAATACCCGAGATCGTAGAAAAATGGGGCTGAACAAGCCAAACATGCCGACATAACGACTAGGGAAGGACATGCTTCTAGCTAAGCCACCAAAAAGTGAAATCTTCCTCCCAGCTACGATTGGCAATGAGGTCCATCTGTCTGTTCCCCCCTCCTCTGACCAATCCATCTATCCTACCCTCTAACCGATTGAACTTTTGACCCCTGTCCCTTTTGACAGTGCCAGAAATAGTTCTGTTATATCATTTTACCTTGTGAACGTTTTATTCTTATTTTTTCCGGTGAACATTTGCGACACCCTACGAACTCATTCGTAGAGTGAATATGCAAATTAGGACCCTTTTCCAAAGCATTGGAAGCAAGGCTGCAAATGAGTGCTTCAATTCCGTCAGCAAAGCTCACACACATTCTATATTTCAATTTACTGTAACTTGGAATCCAAAGGCCTAGTAAAGAATCAGACGGATACTGTACAGTGATCATGGTATAGTGGACAGTGGTTTAACAGAAAGTCGGATTATCAGACAGCTAAGGCTTAAAGCACCAGTACACCACACATCGGCCCGCGGGTGTCAGCATGAAAACCGCACCATTTCGGAGGCTGCCAATTTTTTTTTTTCAACGGCGCCCCACGCCGCGCGGCGCTCCCGAGTTTCGCTTGTGACGACAAAAACTTTCTGCAAGGCTGGGGCCGTGTACTTGCGGTTTAAGAGATGGTGGTTTAACGGCTAAGGGTAGGGTTCACAAGTGGTGGTTTAACAGCTAAGGTTTGAACGATGGTGGTTTGGCAGCTAAGGTTTAACAGATGGTGGTTACCAGCTAAGGTTTAACAGATAGTGATTTAACAGCTAAGGTTTAACATATGGTGGCTTAACAGCAAAGGTTTAACAGATAGTCAGACAAACCAATCGAAAGCCAATAGTCAGGCCCAAGGGCAGACAGACATACAGACATACAGATGGTGGTTTAACAGACAGACTAGTAAAGCCAGTCTGCGGGGAATACATAAGTATCCCTCTACAGATCTCACGGCCTTAATGCTCTCTCTCTCTCTCTCTCTCTCTCTCTCTCTCTCTCTCTCTCTCTCTCTCGAGCGCGCGCGCGTGCGCACAAACATACGCTCCAATAAACAACCAATTGCTGACGCAGAAGACAGGAAGATGATGCCACAAGCCCACACACCAACGGAGAAGCTCAGACATCTATTTTCATTTTCTTTTCCTTGCTCAGAACAGCGAACGCTTTTACAGAAGGTCCCAAGGTCACAGCTATAGCAAAAAGAGTTCCAATACAGAGGAACCCCGTTCCCTCCTCCCCTCCCCGAAGATCTCTCTCTCTCTCTCTCTCTCTCTCTCTCTCTCTCTCTCTCTCTCTTCCCCGCATCCAGGGTTTGAATCTTATTCTGTGAGATGTGAGGGGTTGAATCTCCCTTTTTCCTTTTTTTTTCTTGGCAATGAACCCACCTTTTCTTAATGCCAGGGGTTGAATCTTTTGTTTCTTCTTCGAAGGTTTGATTGGATATCCCGTATTCTGTTAAAAGACCAGCTGGCGAGAGTGACTTTCCCTCGGCTCTTCAAGTTCATCTCTCAAGAGTGTGAAACACCCTGTATTCTGTTAGCACGACAGCCTTGCCGTGCTAACCATGAGTTGCAACTGCAAATGCAATCATGAAACACCCCTCTCTCTCTTTGCACATTGTGAGAGAAAGGAGATATGCCATGAGAGAGAGAAAGACGGAAGGAAGAATACTGCCAGGGCAAAATTTTAAACGATGCCTGTTGTCTGGAACAGAGTGCCATGATAAAAACAGAAAGCCCTCGCCGTGGTGCTGGAAAGCATATACGATCTGCCGGGCACTTTTACATGTCGGATGGTGTCCGGCTTTTGTTAAAGTTTTTGACATGATGAGAATGACACGTGTGCCTAAAGGTTATTCAGACCAAACCTTTTTTTTTTTTTTTCCATGAGACGATGCTCCAATTGAAGAAAAGGGAGAACTACTCAAACTCTACCAAGTCGCTAGAATATGTGTGTCAGGACCGAAAAGTTAAAACTTTTTACTTAGATCCGGATGATAACCGTCTTTGGAAAAGAAATATCAGGACAACGACCGGCGGAGTGACCGGTTGTATTCCGCATTTCGCAGGGCCACAGGGGCATGCGGTCGTAGGAATACTAAATCTAAACCTATTCTTAGTATTTTATCTAAACATAATGACCATGCTGGATATGACCACGCTTCGCAGCCGCGCGATTCACAGATAAAGTAGTCAAAAATATACATATTGTCACAAAGATGTCAGAACACAAAAGCGAAAAAAACAAGAAAAAATCAATTCATTTTTAATCTTCTTACTTACAACTCCGCCTGTTCAAAACCTCTTGCGTACAAGGCCGCCCACGTGGATGTAGGTTGAGCGGCGGCTGCCCCAACCCCAGTGTGTCATATCGACCCACTTGCACACAGCCAAAGGGCAAAGAGGCAAAGAAAAGACGAAGGAAACAGCCGTGTACAACAAAACAGGGGAAACAAATCCTAGATGACAAGTCCCACATGCAAGCACCGCCCTCGCGTCACAGGCCAAACGACGGGACAAGACCAACCAGGATATCAATACACCTTGCCTGCAAAAAAAGTGCTGAAGGATGTCCAACAAAACATAAAAGACAATCCCAGATGACGATTCCCACATAAAAGCACCGCCCCCAAATGCACAGGCCGAACAACGGGAAACAACCAACCAGGATGCCAAAATAAAAAAGAACCCGGATGACTAGTCCCACATGAAAGCACCACTACGCATTCCAAAATAGACCGAACAACGGGACAAAACCAACCGGGACGCAGACAAAGTTACCACAACAAATTCAAACAAACATAAACAAATCCTAGACGACAAGTCCCACATGCAAGCACCGCCCCCTCCGTCACAGGCCAAACGACGGGACAAGACCAACCAGGATACCAAAACACCCTTGCCTGCGACTCTGCGTCAACTCCAAAGGATCCTTTGCAATTGTTGTTGCAAAAACTGGTATCGTTTCAAGCTTTCTGCTGCTTCGTTGTTCTAAACTAAAATACTGGGATGCCACCAACGGCAGAAAAAAAACAAAAAAGACAATCCCAGATGACGATTCCCACAGAAAAGCACCGCCCCATCGCACCAAGGCCGAACAACGGGAAACAGCCAACTAGGACGCCAAAAGGATTTAAAAACCCGGATGACAGGTTCCACATGAAATCACCGCTACGGACACATATACATAACAGCGCACGCGGCTACTAAAGCCGCGGGATTCGAGAGTTGTATAGTCAAAGTACGACCTCGTCGAGGCCACAAATTGACTGAATAAGGAAAGGTTCGTGTCCGGCCTCGGAAGTTTACCACGGCCGAGCAGGAGCCAGTGGCGAGATGGTGGGAGTTGATACCCCAGGTAAGCTGGGCACCCCAACTGCTGACCAGGGATCAAGCCGGCAAGGCTTGCTGGGCCACGTGCAGGAGGGGTAAAAGGGGCAAGCACCTCATATAAAAGGAGTTGCTCCTACTATTCCCGTAGTAGGAGCTAGCCCAGTAGGTAATACACCAGGTTCACATGCCGCAGATGCAGACATCGAAAACGAGATGCCTTAAAATTGGGCTACCTCCTTTTGTTGGAGTGGCCCGTAGGGCCAAAGCAGTTTGGGCGCGATCGGGCACAATCGATTTTGACCGTGAGATCGACAAGATAAAACAGCCGAAATTGGCCATGCCGAAGATCAGCATGGCCCCGCGTAAGGATGACACACATAAATCGAGAAAAAAAAATGGTTCAAAATTTTTTGATTCCCTCTAGGAATCTAACTTGGGTCTGTGTTTGATTAGCATAGCCCTGCTTAAGGATGACACACAGAAATCGAGAAGAAAAAAAAATGGTTCAAAAAATTTCGATTCCCTCTAGGAATCGAACTTGGGTCTGTGTTTCAAACAGTCCGTGGCTGAAAGCCACGCGACTGATGAGACTGTTGGCATAAGCCCACACAGA